GTCTTCATCTGGTTTAAACTTGGAGGATGTTTGAACATTTGTTATCAGAAGATACAGATTTCTGGCTTGACTTACATATCAAAATTTATGTTTAAAAGTGAAGGCTGGGCAGAACTTTGTTATTGAGAGGTAATGTTTTTTACTAGGTAAAAACAGGTGTTCATCACGTGGAAGTAGTTTCACAGGGAATGTTGACCTAAAATATCTCCCTTCAAAACTCTCATCTCTAAAAACTTCCTGAGAACTTTACTGGCTTTAAGCTCCTAGATTGAAAATTAGATGGTAGAATGAGAATGTTGAAGGTTTTGGGAATCCTATAAATAATAATAAAACATTAGAATAGTTTATATAGCTCTTTAATTAAAATACTAACATACACAATGGAATACTATTCAGCCATAAATAAGAATGGAATCCTGTCATTTGCGGCAACATGGATGAGCCTGGAGGAAGTTACGTTAAGTGAAATAAGCCAGGCACAGAAAGATAAATACTGCATGTTCTCACTTACATGCGGAATCTAAAAAAGTTGATCTCCTAGAAGTATAGCATGGAATAGGAGTTATGAGAGAGGTGGGGAGGTGGGGGGGGCTAAGGAGAGGATGGTTAATGGATCCAAAATTACAGCTAGATAGGAGGAATAAGTTCTAATGTTCTGTAGCACTATAGGGTGACTACGGTGAACAGTGATTTATTGTATATTTTCAAATAGCTAGAAGAAAGGATTTTGAGTGTTCCTAACACAAATAAATGATAAATGTGTGAGGTGATGGATATGCTGATTACTCTGATTTGATTATTACACATTGTATACGTATATCAAAAATCACACTGTACCTCAAAAATATGTCCAATTATGTGTCAGTTAAAAAAATAGTAAAGCATTTAGATAAGCAAAACACCTTAAAGATTTTTTGTTTATTAATAATTATTTTTAGAAATTTATCTTTCTGAAATGTTAATGTGCAACTCAAAATATTTACTCCTTTAATTATGACTTTTAAAAATTTCTATAGAGCGTATTAAAAATCTTCAGACTGAACAAGCATCTTTGCAGTCAGAAAATGCACAGTTTGAAAGCGAGAATCAGAAGCTTCAACAGAAACTTAAAGTAATGACTGAACTGTATCAAGAAAATGAAATGAAACTCCACAGGTAATAAAAATGTTGATTACTCCATTGAATGGTAAATAAAATCGCTTTACAAGAGTATGTTATCTATTCAGCTCTTATGATTGTTGGAAGTTCTCAATTTATGATTGGATTATGTTTCAGCAGTTTATTTATAAGAAAGTTATTTGATCTTGAAACAGTTTTTTTCAAGAGTGTTGTAAATAATGTTGGAATTTTCCAGCAGTACATCTAGTAAATAGTCAGTAAATTGTTGCCTCAAGCTTCCTAATAATGGCAGGCTAGATCACAGAATCTGAGTGGACTCACTTGATTGAACTACCCATTAATTCTGTCTCTGATACACTAAAACTGATGTCTTTCTTTGCAAATTGCTTCCGCCCAGGTGTTCCTTGTCTTGGTAAATGGCAGTATCATTTACCTCGTTGCTCAGAGTGGCTGCTCAAGCCATTCTTGACTTCTCTCTTTTATATCTCTATTCATTCTGTCATCAAATCCTGTTAGCTTTCCTCTAGCCTCAATCTGACGACTTTTTCCACTTTCCATTATTACTAGTCTAGTCCAGGCTGTCATCAGTTAGTATATGATTTATTATGGTAGCCTCATGAGTGGTCTCCCTCTTTTCACCCTTAACCTCCTGCACTGTGTTTTCTCTGTGCTATATAGGATGCCCTTAAAATAAAAATTGTGGGTATTGTCACTCTTTTGTTTGGAATTCCCAAATGCCTTCATATCACACTCAGAACTTAATTCAAAGCTTTTTTTGTTTTTTTTTTGAGACAGAGTCTCACTCTGTTGCCTGGGCTAGAGTGCCGTGGCGTCAGCCTA